CAATAACATCTGCTCCATCAAGCGTATCAACTTAGAATTCCAAAACGGGAGAAATCTCTCTTGCCTGAAGAATTCAAGTTATAAAGCTCATGTTGAGTTACTAATATATTAGTAATTCTCACCCGCACAGAGTAGCAATCACAACATACAAATTTCTCTTTGACATTTCACCAAACATCTTATATGCATTCACAAATTAATCACATTTAACTTAAACGCCTAGTCTCAAGTCCTTTCCTAGATGTTTCACATGGCTATTAAGCATATTTTACCCGTGGACAATCAAAACTACAACCATTTCCTAGATGTTTCAACGGACATTTTCAGCCCCAAAATTGCAATAAAATCTTTAAATTATCAGCCTTGATTTCGCAAGAAAATCTTGACAAACAAAACTAATGAAATATAAATAAATTACAGCAATATAATCAAACGATTTCAAGAGAACATGATGGTCTAACCTCGTCACTACTATTTTTCATATGCTCTTTGGCTGGCTACCACCGTCGCTAACCCTTTTGTTGTGTCTGCATATGGCAGCACTCAAAACCAACCGATCGATGAGAAAGGATAGAGGGAAAGTGTGAACTAAAGATGAAAATTTTGAAGTGAGAAGATTTATTCAATTGTAACAAAGAGAAAGTGTGGACCAAAGTGGAAACCTTTGCCTGGAAATTCAATCGTATCATTGGAACTGAGAACTAAATAAGAAGAAGGTAGATGACTTTAAAGAGAAAGGTGATACCAAAACCGTTTTCAGGAACCCAAAACCATTTTCATTACTTAAATATGTACATTTTTTACTTTTAGTATTAGTAAGTTTAATTTAAACATAAGTAAATTTTGTCAAATAATAAGTAAATTAAATTACTCAAAGTGTAAATTTCTGTTTCTGACTAAAACTTATCTTTCAGGCATATACTTATTAGTTTTAATTAAAAACTTACTAAAGTTAATATTAATTATTTTAATATAATATTTAAAAAGTCGCTAAAAATTTTGATCTGTCACTAAAGGTAATAGAAACCTATAATAGCAGGTTTCTCTAATATCGTTACCATAACTATAGCCACTATAGCATGGTCCGCCTCCGAGATCATGACATTTTAATCAAATTTCTTCTTTTCATCTTAACTATGTGGAATAGCTATAGCTGCATTTAAAAAAAAAAAAAAAACTAAAGAGCAAATTTGTAAAAGGGCAAACTCCAATTTACCCCCTATGATTTAATATTTTTTTACATAACCTCCCTATAGTTTCAAAAATTATACATAATTCCCTTATGGTTTGGATTAAAATGTCAAAGCGACGGAAATGATCATTCATAACGGAATTACCTAAAATGTCAAAAATGCTTTTATGTAAAGTTGAAAATTACTTATTAACTAATGAGGGTTATGTGTATATTTTGAAAATCATAAAGGGGTTATATGTTAAAATATTAAATCATAAAGAGGTTATATGGTAAAATATAAAAACTATACAGCGTTAGTGCGTCATGTATTTATAACGGTAATTTCGACATTTTCAAAAGTTCCGTTACGAATGACTATTTCCATTACTTTGACACTTCAGTCTAAATTATGAGCGGGTTATGTATAGCTTTTGAAACCATAGGGGATTATGTAAAAAAGCACTAAAACACAAGGGGTAAAATGTAATTTGCCCTTTGTAAAACTATAGCTGCATTTGCCATTGGACAAGCCACTGATTTTCCGAGCATTCCCTACAGGAAAAGAAACTCGATCGAGAAAAATTAAATCTTTGCATTTCATTGTTCATTTTTATCTTTTTCAAAGCTAGTTCCTTCTCCTCTTACACATCTGGAGCTGAAAATATAGGGGGGAAAAATCTTATATTATTAAGAATGTAATTCATGGTGGAGTTATTTTTAAGCTTTGCAATATTGTTTTTATTTATATGGACATCTGAGTTTTTCCACTCATGCTATCATGAAATTACAAAAAAGTTTATATATACCTACACGTTTTCTTCATTATATTATTGTCTAATTATGTGTTCGCAATGAAAGGATTAACATACTTTCTTTTCTATAACTTTTGTTTTAATAAGCCACCAAGATCACAGGCAGCAACTTCAGAATTAAAAAAGAGAAGAAAAATAACTTCAGAATTAAAAGAAAAAAGAGAAGAAAAAACCTTAAAGGTTTTTTTTTTTTTTCCTGGAATGGGTTTTCAAATAAAGAAGAAATGGAGAATGACATGAGGGTGGAACTCCCAATTTGTTACGGGAAATAATTCTCTTGCACATTGAATGAAAATCAGTGTATTTTGCTTGGTAATATTTTAAATCTTATCCATGTAAAAACACATAATGTTGTATGGGATCATAAATAATGAAAATGAGAATTAATAGCAAATAATTACAATAATGAAATGTTACAGGATCATTATACAAAAAATAAGCCTCCAAACTCGAGTTGCATTTGCTGGAACCATGGGCATCGAGATGAGGTTTTTTAATAGGCAAGATCAGCTCAAGTTTTCATGCCAAGTCTTATATTGGATGGAAGCCTCGATTCATGAGTCTTTCTTGGCCAAAAAACGGTCCATTAAATTGTATACTTGCTATCGTAACTAATTAATGGTCACGTCCGCTGGAAAGCTATCTAATTTTGAAAGGTTTCCTTGCAATTCACTTTATTTTATTATTATTATTATTATTTTTTTAACCCTAACGCCTTGCCTTTCTACTTTCAAATGTAGGTACAATATTCAAACTTTGAATTTGACAGCGGAAAGGACTCTTAGCCACTAAATACAATTTACTTCTTCATTGTGAGGAAACCTAAGTATAAGTTTATCAAGATAAAGAGAATTACAAAAAAGAAAAAAGGAATTTATGTTTGAGGCCAGTCCATTTGGTCTAATTCTGCTTTGTTGTTACAAACTTTGGTAAACAAATTTGGGCAAATTATACTTTACCCCCCTATGATTTAGTGTTTTTGTGCATAATCCCTTTATGGTTTTAAAACTATACATAACCCCCTCATAATTTGAATTAAAGTATCAAAGTAGCGAAATTTGCAATCCATAACGAAGTCACCTGCTAAAATATCAAAAATACCTCTATGTAAAGTTGAAAATTATTTATTAATCACAGGGGAGTTATGCGTATATTTTGAAAATTATAAGAGGGTTATATGGTAAAGTATTAAACTATAAGGAGGTTATGCGGTAAAATATAAAACCATACAGGGGTTAATGCGTCATGTATATTACGTTTATATATTTTGATAATTTCAATCATTTTAATTTTTAAACAAGGGTAATTTCGATATTTTTAAAAGTTCGTTACGAATTATCATTTCTATCACTTTGACACTTTAATTCAAACTATGAGGGGGTTATGTATAACTTTTGAAACTATAGGGGAGTTATGTAAAAAATACTAAACTATAGGGAAATAAAATGTAATTTGCACAACAAATTTGAACCCGCGGTCCATTTGCGTCGTCTATAGTTCAAGTATGTCAATTGGTCATGAAATGAGCGATTTTCACCAAATTCCAGATAGTGGAAAAGAGAAATAGAGAGAGAACGAAAAACGACAATAATGTTTGCTTGCTTTCATCGATTGACATGCATTTGGAAGAGATACGGTGTGCAGAAGTTTGTCACTAACAACCGTTCAGAACAGTGTAATATTTTTTTAAACAGATTATAATTGTTTCTTAATTGCTTGTACACGCTTATAACAAGAGTACGATATTCTATTACTCTTGATGTGAGTCCCATACATAATAATTGTGCATCTATTATGAAGTTTTATAAATAATTTACATAGAGTCACGAGATATTCAAAAAGCATTATATCGTTGGATTGTCAGTGCCCTAGGTGGAAACGTTGGTTAAGATGTAAATCGATCAAGTTTAGTCGTCTGCATGGAGTTGGAACGTGGATAAAATTACCACAATGTAATATTAATTAAAATGAAAGTCTTCAAGGCTCCAAAAAAATTAAACCATGAGGCAACAAAAATAGTTTTTGTTTGGTAATTGTGCTTTCAATTCCTTTAGCGAGTAACAGCAATTTTCAAACCATACCGGTTATGTATCTGTATCATATCATTCAGGAAAAATTGACGACAAATTATCCAATTTGAAGGCTCCCCCTTCCCCGGCCCCAAAAGATAGAATAAAACAAAATGCACACACATTTATGGTGCTTATTCACAAGGAAATTTGGACCAAGTTTCGTCCACAACTTAACTGCTACAGTGTACATTTACACATAAATGTGTACGTTTGGAGTATACACAATTACGCGACGCTTCGCATGGTATTCTTCCTCTGGTTAGTGCCAAAGTGTAACAGATCTGTGATTTGTGCACTAACGATCAAACTTTAATTTGCAAAATTGACAAAAAAAAAATTATATATGCTTATTGTACAAATACCTCAAATTAAAAAGTTCTTGGATTACGCTAATACTAAATACATGTAAGCAATTCTCTTGTATTCTTACATGCTTCTAATGAAGATATTTGTGTGTAAAATTAAAATTTTAGTAGTAGTGGTATGATTTATTGCATATATTGTAGTGCGAGAATTTCACATCTGTCAACAACGCATATAAACAAAATCTAAAACTATAAATTAAGTTTCAACTTTAACAAAATATATCTAATGGCCTATCTCTTGCATTGGTCTAAATTTTATCTCCTATTTTGGGATTTCTAGAATTTTGGTATGATCTCCTCTCTATCTCTGGTCTTTTTATAGTTAAACATATTTTCAAGATTGGCCAGAGAAGTAGTTTGGGATCCAAGAAGACAAACGAAAGTGTAGGGATTAAAACTTTGGTGTGACTTTAAAAATACTTGTAAAACTTAAGGGACCTGTGTGAAATTACTTATGACTCTGCCATGAAAATTATCTGTGTTGCCGATCGAGCTTAACAGGCCATTACGGCATTGCCTTTGAATTATCCATTAGATTAGACCAAATTGGTTGACCCGGAATGAGGCAGTTAAGGTTGTGGTGGTTATACGCGCACGAGTCTTATTCCACGCCTTTAACTGCAGAAGATGAGGGCTCCAGGAACTCCAGCCAGCTCGAGTTCTCAAATTAAAATGCCCTAAAACTCCTGCCATTCCGGAATTCGCACGGTCGAATAAATGCATTTGGTTGGATACATAGAGTCATTCTTCTTCTTCTGGATACATTCTCTTCTTCTTCTTCTTCTTCTTCTTCTGGAGCCGTAGAGCCGTAGAGTCATTCCAAAATAGGTGATTCTTCTTCTTTTGGATACATTCTCACCCCTGGGTCCTGCTTTTAGAGTCATTCTGATTGACGCTAATCAATTGAATTCTCGTGTGATAGGGCATCATGGATTTGAAACGACTCGATAATAGATTGATATGCGGAGACGTGGGATTTTGCAAAACTGAAGTTGGTCTTCATGTCATATTCTGTGTGGTCTAGCATCCAGAGGTCAAGGTTGGATTTCAAATTAGGTTTCAGGTACTTTTGGGTATTCCAAAGTTTTTTTTTTTATCCGGTTATCTGGCTAGTGAAGATATCACTCTTGCTTGGATGAAGAACGACGATTTTACTGCTCATTTTCATTCAGTTTTGTTCTTGAATTAAAGTTTGAAACTAAGAGCAGGAATTTTCACCTTATGCTATGCTGGAATACCTTCTGAGGCCAACTGTAGGTTTGTGTGCTGAAGACTCGAGTGTCTAATATTAGCATTAAGTGTTTGATGATTTAATTGGTTTGGTATCAAAATTTTGAAGGAATTAATAGGGATGTCTAAATCCTATCTCTTTATATTGATTTCAATTTGTATTATCTAGTGATTTCTTCTTCTTTTTTCAAGCGATAGTTTGATACTGATTTTTCAACCTGCAAATTAAATGAAATCGATATGCAAAATCCTTGAATGTCGTAGACAACAAGTGCTATGTAATTGTTTAATTTTGATGAACAGAAACTACATAACATTTGATCAGTAAGATCACAATCACTCCTAAACAAAGAATCTTCTCCAAAACCAATGCTGGCTCCAAATCCTGTCAGCAATCTCGTCTACCGGGATGCCTGTGGTCTCTGGTACAAAGTAGAAGATGATGACTCCTTTAGATAAAGCAATGATAGACATAAAAATAAAAACCCAAATGGCCAATCCACAAAACAATCGTAATGTGATCTGGCTCATCACCACAACCGTTGCTACATAAACACTACTCTCACAGGCTTTCCCTAAGGCCTTGCCCTCACCATGGTAGTCGTCATCAATCCAACCATGAGGGGCTGAGATGATGCCATAGCAGAGGACACTAACAGCTACCATAAACAAGAAAAGGATTGAATCAGGCTTACTTAAATGGTAATTAATATTCCCATCTAAGTAGAAAACAAGCCAGATGCAGAACTGTAACACAAAAGGAGAATTTATTAGTATAAATATAATTAGATAACAAAAAAGAAAGATGTGAAAATGGAATGTAGAAAATACAATAAGATACGAGCACCTGTGTAGTAGATATCATGATGCATGATAAGATCAGGGGAATCCTGCGTCCAACTCGATTCAGGAAGTAGGTAGACGCACCAAATGCAAGAATGATGAATATGCTGGCACAAAGAGGTCCTAGAAAGACCTGGTGCGATGTGTAACCTAGCGACTCTAGGAGCATTGAACCAAAGAAAATCAATGAACTCGTCCCAACAAGCTGCTGAAGAAGCTGTGCAACTGAACAAATGACCAACACAGGACGACTCTGATGGTGAGTGACATCCCTCAATTGTTCTGTATCCTGATGGCCATCCTTTGCCATTATAGCAAGCTCTATCTCGACTGCGTTATCAGATCTCCTTAGCCTACTAAGCTCTCTGGTGGCTCTCATCCAGCTTCCATGTTGGAAGAGCCACTTTGGAGTCTCCTTGGTATAGCATGATACCAGCAGTAGAGCAAAAGCTAGCGGGATCAGCATGCCATAAGATAGTCTCCAACCCCAATTGGGGAAATAAGAGGCAGTGTAATTGACCAACCATGCCAGTACACTACCTAATGACATCATGTACTGAAATAGCAGGTCAATCCAACCTTTGGAGACTGGTGGTGCAATCTCTAAGTAAACCATGGGTATAACCTACAAGTTATTCAGAAAGGTCACTTCACATCTTTCTTTTACAGATTAAAAATAAACAGAAGACCATCTGAGAAAAGTAGTTGAGGAAGTAAGGTACCTGGAGCATGACACCAACTCCTAATCCTAGGCATATCATGCTAGTAGCTGCAAGGCCAGTCGAAGGGAACCACGTGGATATGCAGGCTCCCACAATACAAAAGCCAGATCCAAGTACCAAAATTGGCTTGCGGCCCCAACCGCAAGCCAAGAATAGACCCAACCAGATCCCTGGCAATGCTGACAATGGAATTAATGCTAGGAAGAGCAGTAGCCAAGGGTTAGTGTAGATGCAATAGTCAGTTTCCACAGCTTTCTTCTTTGCTGTGAAAATGCGACTAGAAAACTGCCTTAAAAAGGCATCCATCTTAGGCAGACCACCTGAAAATGAGCAATAGATCACATTGTTAGTGTGCATCACGACAAATATTTTTCTACTAATATGCAACAATAAAGTGACTAGCATAAATAATGTGCATATGAGGTGGGCTAAAGTATTAATTTTCTAAACGTCTAGTGGATGCCCCAAGAATAAGACTTCACAAATCTTTTTGAAGTTTCCCGACTTGTTTTTAAGAATCAAATGGACAACAGAGGTTTCCCAAGATCAGTCAAAGGCGCATTCAAAATGTCAACAGAGATGAGTGAAAATTAAGAATTTTGACTTGAGCATGTAATAAGTAATCTATCAGCTCAATTTTCCTTTTTTTTTCCAGAAATAAAAACAAATGGATTCACTTTGCATACTTTAAATCTTTGGGAAAAATAAAGGGTTTATCTTCATTCATTTAGTCTTTATGTTCTTGTTGTACTGCATTGGATATTCATTTGTTGCTAATTCTGATGTTCTTGTTTTGGAAATAATCGCAACGATAATAATTGTAGTAAGAAATTCAATTGTCTTCTGGTTTGCTATACGAATTGACCTAGAGATGCCATGGTTTGGTCATTTGAATGGGTAAAGGAAGATTCCTTTATGAGGTCTCAGTAAGCCTTGCTTTTAAGTTTGCCCATTCTGAAAATTGGGCAAAAAAGGAAGTAGGACAGGCACAAAAAGCTAGGGCTGTTAAAAGAACTATGAATTCATAATAAGAATATCAGAGTTGAAAGCAAGGTGGAAAAAAGACATTGATTGTGGTCAAGGATTACTTTAGATATATCAACTACGTGCTTTGATACTTGAACCCACCAATCTTCCTTTTATCAGGTTATGATAAGAAGGCAATGAGCTGAGTTTCATGTGAATATTCCAGCCCTCGCAAGCTTGATGCTATGCCTATGGTAAGATTATTGTATTTAAGCTTTTTGAATTTTGTAACCTCTGAGCTTCAAATATTGTATAGTCCTCACTGATACTTGTCGATCTGAGATCAATTTTTATAGGATTGTCAGAAAACTGTAAAGTTGAAAATGAAATCTACTGTGTCAAAAGATGTTGATGCATCACAAAAGGAAGTGAACAACAGGAAACATGATCAAATGTATAAATTTCCAGTCTAAACTTACACAGACATGTCGGATATGCTCTGCATCTTTTGCTATTGTAGGGAATATGTTACCACTTTATGTTCAAGTATCTAAATTCAACATAATTGTTGAAGTCAAATTTGGCCAACTGATGAATAATTCTAACTTCACATAGTTCTTAAAGTGCATAAAGTTGTTAAAATGCACCATTGATTTGTTCATAAACTTACTCTATTGGCCTACACCCTTCTTTGTCAATATGTATGCTCATGTGCTATGTAAACTTTCTAACCTAACAGTCAAATTTCCCATTTTTAACATAAAGAGACTAAAACGTCATTTGTTTGCACATGCTCTCTGTAGAAGCACATTTACTAATTTGGTCATTGAATTAGAAGTTTCAATACTGATGCAACTGCGTTTGATGTAGGGAATTTCTTGATTTTCAAGTGCATACCTACACCTAAAGTTTCTTTAACTGGCTTATGTTACAAGAAGATGTGTGCAGTTCGAAAAGTTCAGCCAACCAACTGCATAAAGCAGTGACAGCAATTAATGCTCAGTTCTTTTAAAGGTGGAAATACTGAGAACTATAGCCTCTCTGGCAGCTAGAAAATTGATACACAGAATTTTGATTAGCATTTTATTACATGTTTATAAGCTTTACTGACTATTTCCCATCATGTTACACTGGAAGAGCAAGCTTAGGAGATTCGATCTAGGAGAGAATAGTTGACCATTACTTTCACATTGATTGTATGTGGGACTTAACTATAGAACACAAGATTTGAGGCATCTATAGTAATCTAGAGAAGAAAGTTGAATTTGAATCAATTTGATACATGATTAATGCTGTTGGCTTGAATAGTGGTCTGCTAAAGTTACCATACTTTTGTTGCATACAGCTTTGTGGATACACAAATTATATTTACTAATGGAGGTCTTGATGCTAGGAAAAACTTGGAACCAAGTTTGTACTAATGTGGTTTTTAAGCCTTTTTATTCTTGTACAAGTAATCTATCTGCTCTTCCAATAGCAAATTGTTTAACAGTAACATTTGAGCAATGGAATCCCTCTAACATTTGGTTTTACACTTGTGAGCTCTTCTTTGTTCTTCCATTTCCTCCTTAACTTGTCTTCTGTTATTGTAGATTTCTTTTCTTATAACCTATTTGGGGCAAAGTCAGCAATCTGAAAGCAACTCAAGCTTTCTCACTTTATCTTTGAGCTTCAGTATATCTTAAATGGAACTACTTTAGTACATCACGACCAGAGAAATCTACCTTGAAATTTTTCATCACATGCGGATCCAGAAAAAATTCTTTTGATTGCTATACCACCCTTGTAAAACAATAGATAGGAAAGTCATCATCACAAACTAAGGCTGATTTTTGTACATTAAGTCTATTTAGGGGATGGCAGCTGAGGCTTAATTGTGGGACGGAGGGGAGATTTGGTGGAGGAATGGTTTGTACTTCGCTATTGGGGCATGATAGGAGAGGAGGAGGTCAAATATTTGCAGTAACAAGTTGGTTGAGGAAACTCTAAATAGGGAGATGGACAGAGCTGCTGGATAAGTATGCTTCTTTTAAGTGGAAAAAATTTCATATTGCACGCATTAATTCTTGATGCATGAAAACCTAAAATTTTAGTTCTAGTTAACCAAGTTATTATAGTGAATTTGCATCTTATCTATTGTCAGGACATGTTAACTCGCATTTTTATTCCTATTGCATGTTTTGGACACTGGATTTTTCTGTTTTTGCTTGGATTAATGAATTAAATATTAAAGTATATCTGTTGCAGCTGGTCAGAGGAAGCAAAATGAGTCAATTTCCAGGTTCAGAGTTTGAGAAATTTCATTTTCTGTGACATTTCATTGAATTATAATTTAAAAGTTCTCTTGAACTTAATAAAATTTTGGAGGGTCGGGAGATTTCGCTTATGGGTAAATTTAGTAGTTGACCAAGAGAACCCGTTCTGTCTCCTTTCGATTGGGAATAACTTGGTTTTCATATTAGGACCTTGTAACTCACAAAAATCTGTCCTACTGATAAATCTTGAAGGCTGGTATTATTAGAAACTCTGGTACAAACATAAATTCTTTTTATCCTTTGATTTTTGGCAAAGACAGACATAGGTAACTTGCATAAAGTAAATTTTATGATTTTACAGTTAATTAGTCCATAGAATATAAAAATTACTCTTTCCATTTAGTTGTAATGTTGTCACAAGAAGCGGGTTTTGTCCTTCACACTGAACTCTCTCTCTCTCTCCCCCTCTTAGTCTCTGTCCATCTCTCTCTCTCTCTCTCTCTCACACACACACACACACTTTATCTATCTCTCTGTCTCTCTGTCTCTCTGGTGTAGGCTAAAATAGAGTTGATTGAAGTGTGAAATGACAGATAAACATGGGTTTTACTTAGTTCTTGACAAGGATGTCTTGAAGATGATTCAAAACAGTTAATGCTATATATCTTAATAGTTCTTTAGTTTCTAAATGCCTGTACAAATTTGCATGCATAATTTTATGACTTGGACATTCTTTGTGCTTTGCTTTGAATCCTTGACCAATAAGACAGGAACAAATTTTTATCTTCATAATGTGTGAGGACAGTTTAATCTTCATCTTGAATCCTAATGCGTTCATGAGATGTTTTGTTGGAACTTGTATTATTTGGGACTACAGTAGGAGATTAACTTGATAAAATAATAGGAAGGTGGAAAAACGATTCAATTCCTACAAAAAGCAGAGTGGAACTGGGAAAGTGAAATAGTAGTATGATGCTAGAAACACTTGAGATTGGTAGTAAACACTTTCTTCTGGCTTCAAAGTTTGTTCTTCATGTCAAAGGTGCTTTTGGCCCTCTAGCCTCGGCAAGAACAAGGGACAGGATATTAACAGCAGTAACATGTCCATTTCTGGATCTGAAGTAAATCCCTTCGTCGAAAATCGAGTGAGGAGTCTGACTGTGCCTCTAAAACTCCAGTTAGTTTTAAAGTAATAAAGGTATCAAAGGGGGAATTTACAGATAAGGCAGATTGTGGGAAGGGGCTCTAGATCTTGGTTAGGGATGGGCTTGGGGACGGAGAGGAGAGGTGTATGGTTGTAATCAGCTGGTCTTTTGGCGACTCTTTAGATTCTCAAAATGGAAGGGTGTTCAATGTAATGGATAAGTAATTGACTGGGGACTGAATAAATTGAATGCTTTATTCTTTAGAACAATTCATCCAATCATTTAATCTTCTTAGTTTGTCGATACCAACTACCATAATTGACAACAATAAGAATTAGTGCCAATATGTGTCTAATGTATTTAAGACATTTAATTGCATTTTAGCTGATACGTTACTGAAGATCAATACTTGTTGGAAAGGTGGTGTTGCTTAAGTTGATAGCTGTAACTTGATGCGACTTGCCACAAAGACATGGTACTTGATTTGGTTTAGTTTATATTGCCTAGATGATATCTTGTTGTCAAGTGCATCATGCAGGAAAGTAGTAAAGTATGTATGGCATCACTGTCTTTTCTAAGTCGTAATGAAGATCTAAAAATTCAAAAAATTCAGGCCTGAACTAGTTTAGATTGATAAAGTGAAATGTCTTTGTGCAGTAATTTGTAGGCTGAGATTTTATTAGCATTGAGTCAAATTTGGCAAGACCTACAACAGTGAAATGTCTTTGTGCAGTAATTTGTAGGCTGAGATTTTATTAGCATTGAGTCAAATTTGGCAAGACCTACAACATTTTTAATCACTATTGAAAGGCCAGTGTGCTAATTGAAAAACAAAGAGAACTGCAATAAAGTTGAATGAAATTACTGAACTTTCAAAGGCTGAATACTAACAAACCTGTGAAGCTCAGTGCATAACCAATCATCAGTCCACCGATAATGGTCAGAAGTAGGCATTCAGCTGTTGGTGCTACATTCTGTTCATCTCCATGGTCATCTTCCTGAGACTTCATTATACAAATAATTAGCCAATACAGATTGATTTTGGTCTTGGTAAATTCAAACTGATTGGAAAAGTGAAAGTTCGTATGCAAGATTTAGTTTTTGTACCTGTCTGCTAGGGGGGCTGGAAGAAAGGACCTGAGAGGTATCACTCTGAGCCCGCCCTATTTCACCTTCCTGGTTTGTAAAATATGATACTAGTTAAGCATTTTGACTGGAGTGAGACGGATTAATTGTATTTGGTCGCCCCATTTATATCATTTTACACGTTACATTCCAATTTTAGTAGACATATTAAATCCAAATATGAGATAGAAATAACCATCTCCAATATAATAAAATACAATTGCAAATGCAAGGACAAAAAAAAAATTACAATCCAACATTTGATGGCTTCTTTGGATTAATGGAGAAAAAATTTCCAAAAATGCTAAATTCTAAATCAACTAAAGGGTGTCTTTGGGTCCATGGGATTGGAATTGGAGGCCCTAATTCGAAATCTCCTGTTTGGGTATTGAATTCTTTAGCTGAAAATTGGTGCTTTTATCTTAACTCTCTTCAAGACTTAAACTTTGGGATGATTAGATAGCTTTAGTAATAAATTATGTGCTGAATCTCTATTGAAACTGTAACTTCACAATTTGGGATTGGATGGGCAAACTGGAGTTTAGGCTCAGGGATTTTTTTTTCCAATTATTTTTTGGATTTATCTATGCATTTATGTCTTAATTATTTTTCTGTTAGAATTTGCTATTGGCCATGGCATGGTCTTGTGGACGTGTCATAGGAATTATGCCCTTCTTGGACAGTGTTTAGTAAAGTTTATCCTAAAAGGATTACCTATTATTTGTGAGTCGATCGGGAACCAAGTTGCAACCATTGTGTGACTAGAAGCGGACTCTTTTTTTCTGAAAATGTTTAGCTTTCTAATAGGTAAAATAAGTTGAAACTTTCTGGAGATAGTTATCAGTTAGGTTATTTGGTTGTGCGGACATGAATCTCTAACATTTTGCCAAATGCAGACCATTTCTAAGGCTCTGGCCAGAGCAACCAAGCATTTGACAAGATAACTGCTTAGATAAAGCTGTCAATTTTTGAGGAAAAGATCAAACTTTTCTTACTTCACCTCATTTAATTTGGTTATCATTATTGTAACTTGTGCACGTTCAATTGTTTTCAATACTCGTCTTTACCATATTGTTTGCTCCATACTGCTCCTCTTTATTCAATAAAGGGGATTTAATAGGAAACTTTAATGTAGTAGTTTATGAGGTATTCTATGCATGTTGCTATGCCTTAAAATTTTTATCTGTCAATAAGTCATGGTTATGCCACGGTTGGCTGGATGTGTCTAGTCACGATGAGCTCTACCTTAATGTTGAAATTGTGGTTGTGCAGATTTTGTCATCACATGTTTCCCTTCAACTGATGAGTGGTTAGAACTGAGTAATCTTAACTGGGAACAATAGCAGGTCCACAGTTCATGCTCTTTACAGCTTTTTCTTAGTCTGCAGCTACAGGTGTATGGTCTGGAGTCTCTAGGTTGTCACTCAGGTGTTAGATCTTGAGATCTGGATTTCAAATATTATTGTATTCAGGAGTTTGCTCCTATGTAAAATCTGAAGACTGTATAGTTGTAGCAGTAGGATTTTTCACATAAAAGTTGAAGCCAACCGCCTGTTGGTATTTTTAGACGTGATTGGTCGGTGTGATTTAGTTTCAAGGTTATAGGGAGCATTGTGTATCTGATGGTTTTTCTTTCTTTTTTATGTTTCTTTTGGCAAGGTATCTGGGGCAGAGTGAGGTATAAAAGTGGATGAAAATCTATATTTAACCCAAAAGATGAAAGTATATGCTTCTAAATCTTACCTTTCTGTGACCAGATTATCTCAACCTTGTATAGTCTAACAGACTGAAAAGACATGATGTCAAATCGAATTTGGTGAGCTGTAAATCTGATGAATCATGTGAATTTGCAGGACCTCGAAATCCCAGGGGTTACAGTGTTAACTAGAGGGGATAAACTTGTAGAGAAGTGTTAGTTGACTGAGCTCAAGAATATGCCATTTTTGGTTGGAATTGCAGAGCATTGAGAAAGATGAAAATTTTGAGCAGTGGATAGAGAGAATCAAGAAAAACTAACAAAAAATGTGATTAGAACGTTGAGCAATTTCAGTTTGTTCACTTTACGTTTTCATTGTCAGGGAGATCCTTGAAAATGATGGCAGTATAATTGCCGGAAAGTAGCCACCCATGACATGGATGATGGTTCGCTGTTATTGAAGCAGGTATTTTTCATGCTCTTACTTTCTCTATCCTAATATGCCAATATTACTCATTGGATATGCCAACAAGGCATACATGTGTAATTAATGGGTCATGACTCAACGTGAACATGAAACATTGCTATGGCCATGGCATGGTCTTGTGGACATGTGTAATTAATGGGTCATTTCAGTTGAATGGACATGAATCTCTAACATTTTGCCAAATGCAGACCTTTTTTAAAGCTCTGGCCAGAGCACCCGAGCACTTGACAAGATAACTGCTTAGATAAAGCTGTCAAGTTTTGGAGGAAAAGATCACATTTTTCTTACTTTACCTCATTTAATTTGGTTATCATTCTTGTTAACTTGTGCTCATTCAGTTCTCTCCAATACTCCTCTTTACGATACTGTTTCCTCCTTATTTGATAAAAAGGATTTAAAAGGAAACTCTAGGTTGTCACTCAGGTGTTGGATCTTAAGATCTGAATTTCAAGTACTATTTATATTCAGAGGAGTTTGCTCCTATGTAAAATCTGAAGACTGTAAAGTTGCAGCAGTAGGATTTTTCACTTAAAAGTTGAAGCCAACAGCCTGTTGGTATTTTTGAGGCAGGGTTAATTCCACTTTGCACCCTTTAACTATACCCAAATTTTCACTTTGGTCCCTAAACTTCAAAATGGGACACTTTAGTCCCTAAATTATAAAATTTGTTGTACTTAAGTCCCTAAAATATAGAACTTGTCCATTTTAGTCCCTAAAATATAAAATTTGTCCCAATTTAGTACCTTAAGTACACCCACTTGGCATAAAATCTGTCTCACTTCCTTAATGATGTTACTTAAGTGGGACAAATTTTATGGTTTAGGAACTAAAGTGTCCCATTTTTAAGTTTAAGGACTAAAGTGGAAATTTAGGTATAGTTAAAGGTTGTAAAGGGGAAATAACCCTTTTGAAGCATGGTTGATTGGTGTGATTCAGTTACAAGGTTGTAGGGAGCATTGTGGACCTAATATGTATTTCCTCGTCTTGAATTACAGGCTGCTTTTACTTCTCTCCCAAAGGACAGAGGCCTCTAATGCTCAATCTTTGTATGACGTTTATTTGTCAAGAGGTGAAGATGATTATAGTAGGGCTATATAATCTGTAATGTGATTTTCCCCTTCTTTTTCTTACCCCAGGATCTGCCTCCCCTTCTTTTATTTTTGGCATCATTTTGGGAATTGTGATTAATTGCAAGGTGTTCCTTTTACTGTTATCTCTAAACAATGCCTGCAAATGATGAGTAGCTCTCTTACAAGGTTAGTCAGCTTAGATTGTTCCTTAGATACTTTGAAGTTCTTCACATGGTACTATATGAAAAGCTTTGGCATGAAATCTGGTTTCTTGAGTTTTATGTGAAGACATGATTTGCTACAATTGCATGTTTTCCTTCAGAGGGTTGATGTTTAGCCACTCGTGGATGTGTTCAGTTTGATTTATCTTATATCGAATAATGATTAAGGCTATTGATATTGTTTTGTGCATAATGTTCATTCAAAAGCTCTTCATCCCAAAGCCTACGTGCCTCCATTTGGATCTTTTTGACATTTTATTTGGTTCTCTTGCTGTTTTGCCAGCAGGATAGCTTGATATCTACTTAAATATTGTTTGGAAGTTGTCCATCCACCAAAGCTCTTTGCATGCAGGTGGCCTAAGATTGTTTTAGGATCATATTGGTTTGCATCTTGGTTTACAATCTCGCATTGACAAAATCTGATATGAATTGTAACATTCATGTCTTCATGTCTATGTTTGATGTCTGATGTCCAAAACTCCTATTCATGTCATTCTCCTATTGATTAAGGAAGTTGGCGATCTTTGATGGCGGTAACAATGAATTGTAGAGGAGGATTAATAAGGGACCCTTCAGTGGATTTTGAAGAATTTATTCAAAGAGTTGATGCCTGCACCAAGAAGTCAACAATGAAATGAGGCTACAAAGACAGGAGTTTCCAACTAATTGTTCCCTAGATATGATTAGTTGGGGTCCAGATATTACTAGTTGAGGATAGAGCCCTGATAATATTCATCACCAATCCCAAAATTGTCATATAATGCTTACAGACAGGATGTGGTTTAGAGTGAATGCACCTTGTTTTTATGTTCGTACATTGCTGTACTTTTATTCTGTACATTTCGACCGTGGAGTTCTTCCAAGATTGGAATCTATTATCTGATGCTTCTTAGACTAATAGAATACTTTTGTGTGTGTGTGTGTGTCAAAAGGTCATCATTGTATATATATTGAGTAATGATAATTACAAGGGATAATTTCAGAAATCTCCCTTGAGGTTTTTAACAATTTCACTTAGTTTCCTTGAGGTTTTAAAAATTTACGCATACCTCCCTTGAATTTATCATTTTGATAACGAAAACTATTCAATGGTCAAAATTTTGAATGAATAACTCAAATTGCCCTCATGAAATTGTGAAGTTTATTTTACCCTGTTATAAACTTCGATAAAAAAAATATGGAATATGCACAAAATTTTAAATCCACTTTTAATCCTTATTTCTACTATTTTAAATCTTTCATATACCTACATCTCAAATTAGTACCACTATCATCAGGGCCACTGCTACCATCAGTTCTTAAATTCTAAAATCTCAATTTAAGTTACAAAAGGAAAAAAAAATAGTACTGTTAAACTTAAAAAATTTCACTAATTATATTAATATGACATCCCATCCCTCAAATATTGAAGTACCAATACATGCTCCGTATTTAAATCTTTAACTTACATCTTCTTCTATTCATCTTTAGATCTTTCAAGTCAAGCTAAAATTAATTTGTAATATGTTAGAATTATGTTTATGGCATAATTAGTTATTCTATAAGTGAACCTTGTTTTTGTTTCCATTAAATATTTAATTATGTCATGCATTCCTATGCACAAGATTAGGAGTGTATTATTTAATTGCATGAAAAATAATAATATATTAAGGTTATTATGGTCATTTTATAGGGTCAAGGGAGGTAAGTGTAATATTGAAAACCTCAAGATTACTAGATGAAGTTATCAGAAACCTAGAGGGAGGTTTCTGAAATTATCCCTAATTAGCAAATGCCAGGGAATCACTACTGCGTGCTTCAATCTGATAGAGACAGCCTAATCTCACAGAAAACGGTTGTTTGAATGCTAATGCAATTCTAATGCTCTATGAATTCTTCTTCCATCCAAACTGAAAGTTTAGAACTCCAAATGACTTCTTTGCCGATTAGGTACACTTGCCAAACAAAGGAATTCTAACATTTTGTATTTAAAATTCATAAAATTACAATTCTATAGAATTGTGAATCCAATTCTACGGAACCAAATGCAGCCTAATGTGAAAAGAAAGTCATGCCATGCATCTGATTTCGGTCGCAGGATACTGGTCGCGAATTAGGCAATACGCATGTTTTAGCAAATGTATATTGTAGTCTAACAAAACGCCAATACATATACATATATATATATATATATATATATAAAGCATACTTTACCATAACATGCTTAATGATCAAATTAGATTAGCTAAATATACATTTTTGGTCATACGAGACTCAATCAATAATGAATCCCTGGTTGTTTTGGGCTTTGGGTCACAGCCGATTGCAAATGATATGTATATAGATTTTTTTTAAAAAAAAATTATTCTTCTTTTAATCCAAATTAGGACTTTTTCTTTCCTTCTGTCTCCCCATTACCCACCTTCCGTTTGAGCAAAATTTCAGAAAATTTTTTCTTCATCTCTGAAGTGATTTCCCTCTTGCAATGCTCACCCGCAAAACATAAAAATTAAAATTAGACTGAGTCCGCAAACTAAGTAAGATTAACGTAACATAACAGAATGTTGTCAGTCATATAATATTCTCGTACCTTGTTTTCCAGAGTCTGAGTCTCTGATGGAGCTAATGACGACGGTCCTGGTGCCTCGACCTCTCTCAGGCTCAGCTCAATCTCAGCCGGGCTGCTACTCGAAGAAGAAGTTGTCCCGGCAAATTCTTCTATTTCTTGCTGCTCCATGCTGAGAAGGAGGAGTTACGGTGGTGGTGGTTATGGCTTTGGTTGTGGTGGATAGAGGCTCTGGTCGTACCGTCCTAGGGGTGGAGGGAACCAAGCATAATTGCGGTTTTGTTTGGTCTGAGCTAAATGCTTCTTGCGCTGGGTCAGGTGGTGGTTGTTTTCCGAGTACTGTTTATAACAGCTTGATAGTTTACTTTAATCAATCATCCAGGGCTGCTAAATGGTGATTTTGTTGTTTTCCATCATGAAGCATTTTCAAAGCCCAAAGCAAGTATTTCAGATTGCTTTGTTCCAGAAAAGAAAAGAAGTAAAAGGAAAAAAAAAAAAAAAGGCTAGTGAGGGTCCTCGAAGGCATCTGTTTGTTTTAACTTCTTAGCTGAAATAGGAAGAAAGACTGGCCCGCTGAAACTTGAAGGAAGGAGTAGAGCTCTTAGCCGTTAGTTTTTTTTTTTTTTTTTTTTTGTTGTCCTCCACAAACAAACAAGAGGGAGGTTGGAATCTTCTCTCTTGTGTTACAGGAAAGGGAAGAATGGTGATTTTGGGTTCTTCTCCTTTAATGGGATACTGCTGCAAATTCTTCTCCATTGCTGAAGATGGAAATCCCGTCTGATACGTTGTTGAGTAACAGCTGCAAATAACAGGGGCGGGAAATAGCAAATGTGGCTGACGTGGCGCAAACTATAACTCATGTGGACCCCCCTGAGCTTGGAATTCTAAATTGCTTCTGAGCACGCATACGGCGCCGTTTCATCTGAAAATTTTCTTGTTGATGCACAAAATTGGGTCATATTTTAGAAAGAAAAAAAAAACATAGAGAGAGAGAGAGACACACACACACACACAAACTAGCAAAGTCATTACTTTCACAAGCATAAGGAGCACCAGGGCTTCATAAAACACGGAATAAATAGAAAGAGAAAATTGCCCTTTTTGCTATAATCTGGATAAAATGACGAAGTTTTGGACAAAATTCAGAATGCCCCCCCTCCCCCCGGTGCTATTTTTTTCTTTTTTTTTCGACACGGGGGTGTCGAAAAAACTTGAATTAGAACTCGAATCTTATACGACCTCAAAATTTAAGCTTAAGTTCGATTCAATTTAATATTTGATTTGAGAGCTCGAAAATTCATTTAACTTTTAAATTATAATATTAAATTATCATTAATATATTTATATATATAATTATCTATAAAATAAAACAATTTGTGTACAATTTTACATAAAATATTAGTACATGTTTTAAATAAAAAAATTTTAAAAATATTCGAGTCTTAATGAGCTGAATCTGCATAAGCTCGAATTCGATTCGATACTTTAATTGAATCCTAATTCTTGTTGAACTCAAATTTGAGCTGGTTAAAAATCGAACTCGAATTAAACATTTAACAAATCGTGGTCAAACTATTCGTTAAATGTTGAGTTCATTTACAACCCTAGTAGGAATAAGATGTTAGTCAAGGAATATTTGCTTAAAGAGGTTCCCTTTTTTTCTCCCTTGTAAGGAAGGGTTATTCAACGTCTGAGGCCCTCTATTTAACGACCTTTTTTCTGCACTAAAGTGATAACGTGGAAGACAAAAATTTTTAGCTCATGGTTTTAGCCAAGTTTTGGCTTCGGTTATATTGGCATTTGCAACGAGATATCAAAATGACTTTTAGGTTGCGTTTTGTTCCATAAAATTGGAATTGCAATTTCAAGATATTGAAATTCATTCGTTTTGACAAATGTACAGAATGGTTGAGGAATTCATCTAGAATTCAAATTTTATGTTGGACAGAAGAAAAATTAATTGAAAATTAGAACTATTTTTATCTGAAATCTTCTTTTTTTTTTTCAAGCATCTATATTTGGAATTCCTAATGATAGCTCCTTTTAAAATATATATATAAAAAAGGAAAAATCGTTCAAAACGTCCATCACATTTTGCAAAATAACTTTTTTCGTCCCTCACTTTTAAAAGTACAATTTTAAGTCCCTTACAAATTCACATTGATCAATTTTGGTCTCTACCTAAGTTTTTGATTAGTTTCAGGTCATAATTCACCAAGTGCCTTGCACGTGATCATTTTTTAAACGCAAAATTGTCAAATCAAATTTTACATGATCCGATTCATGGTCCCTCATATTTCATAAAATGAATTTTTTCATCCCTAACATTTTACAAAATGAATTATTTCGTCCCTCACATTTCACAAAATGAATTTTTTCATCCTTCACATTTTTCAAAATGAATTTTTTCATTCCTCATTCATCATGTGTACGAATAACTTTTTTTTTAAATTTATGTATATATCTATTTGATTTTACTTGAATAGTACGAATAGCATGTAATATATCTCTATTTCATCTAAACAAACTAATCGTAATTATATACATGCTATTCAATAGATATATAGAGGGATTTAAAACTAATAATTTTGTTTAAACCCATGTAGATATCTATATGATTTCACCATGTGAACCTAATTAATATTTTGTAACTTTCTCTTTTGATAATAATTTATTTATTGAGCTATATAATAAGACTATCTAATTAATGGGTTCTAACTCGAATTCTATAGTCGTGCTAACAAATTGTAGTTTAAATTTGAAATTTCTACTCGTCACTTTTAAGACCAACAGTTGAATTACTTACCTTATGATTGTCTTCAATTTGAAAGTGCCAATCACTTACTTCTTTTTGTCATACTTTTCCTTAATTTATTTTTCTGTCCAAATTTAATTTGATATAAATATTCGATAATATTTAGGATTAAATGTCTTATTTATTTTCAATTTTTGAGTAAAAGAAAACGAATATGAGTGAAAAACTAACAATTTTTTTTAAAACCCATGTATATATCTATTTCATTTCACCTAAACAATATGAATAGCATGTATATATCTATTTGATTTTGCCTGGCGAAATCAATTAAAAATATATTATATGCTATTCGTACTGTTCAGGTGAAATCAAATAAATATATACATGGGTTTAAAAAAAATTATTCGCACACATGATCAATGAGAGATGAAAAAATTCATTTTGAAAAATGTGAAAAATGAAAAATTTTATTTTGTGAAATGTGAGGGACGAAAAAATTTCATTTTATGAAATGTGAAGGACTATGAATCGAATTGTGTAAAAATTTGATTTGACAATTTTACCCTTAAAAAATGATCAAGTGCAAGGCACGTGGTGGATTCCGACCAGAAACTAATCGGAAACCTAGGCA